CCATAAGTTACAGGGAAAATGTTCTCTAAAAGCCAGAAAAAAAACCATCACCAGAAATTGAGTTCCTTAGCACTTTGAACTTGTGGTATACTGTTACAGCAACTACAGAACATTAATGATTATGTATTTATTTTACAAAAGACTATTCGATGGGACAGAATCTAGTGTTATACTCTTCTAGTGATGTGAAAGCTCAAATCTGAGAAAAACTGAACCATAACAGGACCTTGCAAGTAATGTGCTGAGATATGTATATTTATTACACAAAACAAACACTTTGATTCCTCTCTATGCAATACATCATGAATGAGCCAGAAATTAACATCTAGCTGTGATATGATTCATCATTAGAGAAAAGAATTGAAAAAACCCGACAACAGTTTCTGCCTCTTGTCTTCCACACTCTCTGTATTTTCAGGTTTTATCTTTATTTTTTTTCTTGAAAAACTTTACTGCTGGAGTTCAGAAAGTCAATGCTGTATTCTGATATTTTCCAAAGAATGCTGCTATTTCATTCTTAAAGGAGGTATTTTATTACTATAATAGATTTTGGAGCCTGCCTATCTCGTAACTTTAAATGGGTTTTTTCACTGATGGTCTTAATTTGGAAACTTGAGCTAAGGACAAGGTAGGACTATCTAATACTATTGATTATACTAATAGAAGTTGTAACTATATCAATGATTATTTGCTTCTCAATTTATATTGGAGCTAGTCATTTTTTTCTGCAAAGCTGAGATAGTAAATAATTTTTGCTTTCTGAGATATATTGTTTCTTGTGGATACTGAACTTTGCCATGTATCTTGAAATCAGCCATAGGCAATGCATAAAGAAATGGGTATGGCTGTGTTCCAATACAATGTTAACTACAAACAAACAGGCTGTGGACTGGATTTGGTTGACAGGCCATAGTTTAAACAAATCATTTTATAAAGGCCGTACATTAATTATTGTTAGAGTTCTAGCATGGTTTTTAATAGTAGTGACTATATTTTACTTCATATAATGGACTCCTGATGTAAAGAAGGAAATGTTAACTTAAAGTTAGTAAGTTACGGAAATATTAATTTTAATCTAAATTCTTTAGACTAAAACAAATAACTAAAAACTTTTGGATGTGAGTAAGCTGGAGAAAAAAGAAATATGTAAAACATTATTACTATGTTTATACACACACACACACAATATTTTGGAGATTTGAGGTTTCCTATAGTACAACAAATCACTTATAGAATGTTGGTCAAATAGTCATCTATCATTCTATGCCACCTTTACAGTTACATATCTGTTTCAACTTCAGAGTAGGTGCTTTCTACTTGGTGACTGTACTATGCAAATTATACAAACTAGTACTTCCCAAATTAGCTCTGCATTCATAATAATGTTATTTACAGCAACAGAACTATTATGAAGCTGAAAATATTGAAGTTAAGGAGCACAAGGTTCAACTTTAACTTGTATTTCTATTATGCATTATATTCTTTTGTGAAATCCTATGAACATCTTCACTATATTAAATCCATTACCAATTTTTTTCTGTCCATTTTCATACTGTGGCTCTCATCTAAGCCACATACTTCAGCCTCTTATTTTTCCAACAGTATCTTAGCCAGAAGCTGGATCCAAGTGTCTTATCGTTCTAATTTATTCTGCACATGCTGACAGATAAAACGCTGCTTTCATCAGGCCTTGCTCTTTTCACTTATTGAACATGGTCTCAAACACTGATCCTGACATTTATAGGTCTCCACAAAATCTCCCCAGGCTCCAGCTCACATCTCTGCAGCCTCAACCTACCCACTTTTCTATGAGCTTATTAATTGCTTTTCTTACCTCAAATGCTTAGCTTATAGAATTGATTGCCTTGTACGTTCCACTCCTCTTTCTGCTTATTCTAGGAAGATGGGACAAGTCAAGTAGAAGCCCTTCCTTTAAGTCTTTCTTGCTCCTTCAACTTCAAATGATCAGATTTGCAATCAATTGCTTTTAGTGTTGAAGTCCTATTTGTTGGGTCAGAGTAAATGCTCTCATTTCCCTAACAAATGCAAGCTCCTTTGTGTCAATATCCCTATCCTTTCACAACACCCATGGTTCTTTTTGCACAGCCTCTTCAATGCAGTCCCAAATGAATGAGTAGCTAGACTAGAAAGTCTGAAATACTAGACAACACAGAAGCGCCCATTCTATAGACTTTGCTGATTGAATTAATGCAACATGATTACTTTAATCACTAAAGGAAAACACTTTCTTTAATTTTATTTTGCCTGTGACAATATGATGTCGACGATAAAGACAGCGAGACACTGACAAATGAATCATTCACAGTTCTGGAATCAACCATGATTATCAATGTAAGAAAACATTTCTCTCTTTCCAAGAACAAAAGATACTTCTCTCCATCTCACGCCCCATAGGAACATAGGCAAGAAAAAGAAATCTCCACAGGCTGGAATAATAAAGACAAGAAATCCTTTTTCATGAAAGTTGTTATCCTAAAGTTAATTACACACAAACCAGTTACTATAATGCAACGTTGTCCCCCCAGATTTTCTGAAATTCGTAAGATTACTGGGACAGAGTGAGCATTGAGGGGACTGTGCCAGGAGTAGACTGTGCCAGCATTGCCTGAAGACTAGCGGAGGAAGAGCCACCAAACAGGAAGCCAACAAATGAACTTTCAAAAACCCAAAGAAAGTGGCATTGAGGAGGCCAAAGACAACTTCCTTTTTCACAGAAGAAGTGGGTAAGTGTATTAGATATTAAAAGTACTCACTAGGACCAGAAAATAACAAAGTCTATGAGATTTGAAAATGATAAAGTCAACAATCATCATAAAAAATCAGTTTCTGCAGACGGTGTGTCTAAACAGCAAGATGTCCTCGTTCATACTGTTGCTTCTGTGCTCTGTGACATTCTGTGCACAGTCATCAGGGCCATGGACTGACAGGAAGGAGAAGGAATTATCTTTCAATGAAGACAATGTGTGCACAGTTCGGCAAGGCTTTTTAGCCTCAAGGAAGGAAGTGAGTCACTCAAATTTGTTCAGCTTTAAATAGTAGAGTTTTGCAATATGAAGCCATTTCCCATGTATACCACTTTCATCACTGTCTTAGTTAGGGCTACTCTTGCTGTGATGGAACACCATGACTAAAAGCAACTCAGGAAGGAAAGGGTTTATTTGGATTATGATTTCATATCACCCTTTCTCATCGAAGGAAGTCAGGATAGGAACTGAAGCAGGGCAGGAATGTGTAGGCAGGAGCTGATGCACAAGGTATGAAGGAATGGTTTGCTTCTCAAGGCTTGCTTAGCCCACTTTCTTATAGAACCCAGGACCACCAGCCCATGATGGCACCACATGCAATAGGCTGGGTCCTCCCACATCAATAACTAATTAAGAAAATGTACTACAGGCCTGCCTACAGGCCCGCCTACAGGCCAGTTTATGGAGACATTTTCTCAACTGAGGCTCCCTCCTCAGATGACTCTAGCTCTGTCAAGTTGACACAAAACCTGTCAAGTTGACACAAAACCTATCCAACATTTTCTCTAGTGGTATTCTATTAAATATACCTTCATATTCTGACCATAAATCTCTGAGTACCATTTGTGTGTGGTGATATATTAAAATGGCAAGAATTCTACCAGATTTTTTCTTTTCCATGTAGAAGAGTGACTAAATGAGGAAAGCTCACCTTGCATTTGTACTAGAATTGGAACTGAAGCTTGTATATCTGGATTTCCAAACTCACCTGTGCCCCTGATCATTAGCAACTCTGCGTAGAACCAGAAATGAGTGCATGAGTTCACACTTGATTTAAAGGAGGCGTTATCAGTGAGTGATCAGGCTTTGCCTTACTCAACTTTTTGAAGAAAAATTTATAATGGGAAGGATGACTCTCAGTTTAATACAGCTCTAGTCAGAGTCATTTTTATCTAAGGATTATGATGGAGATGAGAAGGAAAGATAAAGTCAGAATTGTGTGACTGTGAGTAACTCAAGACGCAGAAACCAAGGAAGGCCACCACTTGGATAGTGCCAGGCTGTCTCAAAGAATTGATAAGCCCCTTGCAGTATGTGTATACACACACACACACACACACACACACACACACACACCACTCACTCACAACAGCCAAAGAAAGATCCACCCCTTCAGAAAACTCATGTCTATCCTCAGGTAAATAAATGCACCTGGACCCTAAACCCAGAGATTTTAATCTGCATGCTTGCTAGAACCTGTTTCCACACTCTGGAAGAACTATTGACAGTTTGTATAAGTAAAAATAATGAAATATCTAAACACCAAATTTTCTATTTCATGCAATGGGATGAACAATGTTCTCCAAACCTTGAGATTTATTTCCTAGAAAACCCAGCACACAGTTAATGCAAATGTGAAAACTTTCCACCACACACTTCTGCAGGATTCTGTGTCTTGTAGCAGTGCAGAATGTATATTTCACACACTGCAAGCTTTGAGTCAATAAATATGCCATTTAAAAGCCAGTGCCAAGTATGATCAGGTTCATGGACAGCCTGTGTGATATTAGGAATGTTACCATGGAGAATTCTGGGAAAGCTATGCAGTTACCTTACATTGTGTGCATGGACAAATATGATGCATACAAACAAGGATCATGAATCACAGTGATTGTTAAGATGTCAAGTAAAGTGCTATAAATTACTATTATTTAGAAACACATAAAATGCTTAGTTATAACATTATTTATGCCATAACCAAAACCTGCACCTGATTTTCTTATACCTATCAATGAGAGAAGAGCTCAACAGTTATGTGTTCATTCTAAAGAACAAAATTTCAAAATATAAGTTTTCCGGTGTTTTGTAGAACAGGGTAAAGCTGTTCCTATATACTCTACTCTGCATGCCAAGTCTGATATTAAAGCAAAATGCAACAAGGCAGTGATGGGAAAAATATAAGAAAGAGTACTGGAGAAATGCAGAGCAAATCGACTCTGGTGTGCAGCCTCCTACCTCTTGCCTGCCGTCCAGGCCCACAGCCTTCCTGAGCTCCAGGCACATCCTGTTGGATGCTCCAAGGAACTAACTGGCACCTGCGCCATTTGTGTGTCTTCCACCTAGAGGAGAAGAATAAAATCTCAGTGAGAAGAAGCAGAGGTGGCGGGCAAATCACAGAGATAATGTAGTGTTAACAAAAAGCAGGCTGTTTAGCCATATGATATTTTTCCTAAGTTTAATTTAGCTACAAACGAACCCCTTCTAAAAACACTGTTAAATACAAAATTCTTCCTATGGCACAAGAGACAAGACTATATGATTGGCAAGTTCTGTAGAAACAGGCTTCCCAGAGTGACAAAGAGCATTTGGACTTCTTATTCACACTTCCAAGAAATGTCCCAGTTGGCCCCAAAAGTGTTGCATTCCACTAAGTAAACTCCAGTCAGGCCAAGAGTCTTCTCTATAATGAGCTTTCAATGATCACTGTATGGGTAACAGCAACTGAAATTATAATATCCCGGAACAAAAACAAATTTCAAAAATCAATATGTGGGGCAAATAGTCAATAATGTTCACAGTGTAAACACACAGTAATGACATCTGTCACCTGTGAATTAATGATACATGTATTAATATGGCAATTTACCACTAATCTCCACTTAAGTTATCGTGTTATGATCACACATTTAATTAATGATTGTCATAGTACATAGTGGTTCATTTGCTGTCAGGGCTGCAATGATACTGCCAGGGAGAATATTGGCAAGGAAGCCATATTTCTGCAATAAAAATTTCAGGTTATGTGTAACTTCAATGACTTCAACTTTCTTGGAGTTGCTAATAGATGAATAGAACAGACAGACATCTCACTAGCATTACAAAAGAATAATGTCACTTCCTAAGCCTCAATGCTCACACTTAGTAGAAACAGGTGCTCTTTGGAGACAAGGTTATTCCCCTGTGACAAAGAAGTCCCTTCCTAAGGGACTTATAATTGTTAACTTTTTTTATGTGTTTCTTATAGTTTATATCAACATAAGACATTCTCCTCACCTCTTGGAGCTACCTACACAGTTGGGAAATTGACACATATATTTGCCTTGGGAGAGGTATTTTCAGAAGTGAAGTTCTTTGAAACTTCTGAACAGCCTACTGAGGTGGTGGAAGGAATATCAGCTTGACAGATGTGATCAGGAATTACCCAGTGCACCATCTACTTCCTTTCCCCCTTTACCTGTAGCTGTAACACGTGGGAGGGGCCTCACAAGCCTTCTCTTCATATAAAGGGTCTGAGCAGTCCCGGCCTCCATTGGCTGGCAGTTGAATGATGACCCGATGTCGAGACTGCTTCCTGGTTCCAGAGTCCCCTGAAATGAAGCAACGTTCCAACCTGCATTTAGAATCTCTCTCAATAGCAGTTGGTGTTGAAGAAATTCCCCCGCCTCCAGCAACATGTGCTGTGACATGTCCAAATGAGAGGCTTTATTTCATCGAATCATTTACTAATTGTCTCACAGACCACTTATATTTAAAACCAAATCAGTTTATATTTTAAAATGTAAAGAATGAAGAGAAACCATTCCACAGTCAACCAGTCTTCTACTGTACAGTTACAAAGTCGCTGTTCTTTCATATTTTCTGTCCCCTTGAGAAATACGACAGATCTAATTAAATCCTTCCCCTTACTGTAAGTTTATTTTCATGTCATCTCATGTAGCTGTGTTTGCCATGTGGAGCACATACACTTGTTGTGAATCTTCCTCAGGAGGATATAGTCAATGTTATACTGCTCTTTCTTTGTTACCCTCTTAATTTGAAACTCATAACTTATAAATTATTCCAGCTATTTATTATTCATGCTAAGCAGCCTAAGAGCTTCAATTCAGGCCACACTCTGAGCACCATGCTCTACGTAGAGAAATAAAAGACGTTTCCTAGAGAAAGACTTTTTTTTAGGTAAGTGTCAAAAATAGCAGCAATTACTGTAAGTAAATAACTCCAAAGGATTTCTAAAAACTGGTGGTGAGGGAACTTTACCTTCAAGAAAGGTAATGGTCTGACAGTAGAATGTATTACTGATTAAAGAATGTTCAAATTTGCGTATAAATATACACATTTACCATCTCTGATATTCAACTTTCAATACATGTGTTTTTTAAGGGTGAGTAGCTGCATGGTACAGTTTCACTTAGAAAATAATTCTATAGAGAATTATGTCAGCAGATAATATAATTCCTGATGCATTTACATTAATTTGCAAGATTATTAAATATTCCATGCACAGACTACAGGACAGTGGGATCTTTATAAAGTTTACAACCTTTAACAACCAGAGTTTAATCAGAAGGGAAAAGAAGTTATTGTGGTTATAAGATAAAATGATTTGAAAGTGAAAAATTTCCCACAACAGAATCCTTTTTCATGAACTCAAGGTGTCTCTTAACACTGGTGGGCGAACGATGGCAGCCATGCTTAGAGAGAACTCTTGTGCTAGACAGAGAGCTGCTCAGGTACCAGCGATTTCTGAATGATTCTGTTGGATAACCTCTTTAAAAACAGGAACAATAACAGCAGACAGCTGAGCCCAAACCCAGGACTTCTGAGTCACCATTTCTGATAGCAGGGTTTAAGAGTCTATTTTAAAAGCCTTTCAGGAATATGTGATGAACAGTCATGGAAAGGGAGAGCACAGAATTGAATGAATGGGTGACTATGTGCACCTTGTTCCAATTTAAGATTCTGGATTATTGTGAATTGTTAAGGATTATTCCCATTGTGTGTGAATCATGTTTATGACTACAATAATTATGTTAATGAATAATTGGAATACTATAGTTAATGGAGTGGGGAATTTGGGACTAAAATTGCTGGCAACTAGGAATTGAAGTATTTGGGAGCACCTCTGTGGACTTTTTTTGTAACAATATAAATTTGAATACTGACTGGATTTTACATATTTAATATGATTTGTCTAGAGAAGATCTAAGAAATGTCAGTAGAAATGCAGTGTTACCAATGCTTTTCTATTTATTATAGTGTTCAAATGACTTCTAGCTTCAAGCCCATGTGATACATGTCTCTAACAACTCAGAGCAAGGAGCATTTTCATTTCTCTTGAGGCTCTGCAGAATTCACTATCCTTGTGTTTTTCATTTTGGTCACTGGACTCTCAGAGCTAATTTTCTTCCATTACAGGAGCATACATTAACTTTGATTTTTCTCATTTGTATTTTTCTTAGTTTGCCTTCATACCCTCCCGGTTCACTACTTAGTTCTACAATTCTATTATTTTGAATATTTACTTTATTTTAGTATATGCTTAGGATTAACTTTTAATATTTTTAAAAAGTGTATGTAAACTAGATAAACATCTGATCATTTGGCTAATATCTGGAGGGATTTCTTTGTTTTCTTCCTTCCTTCCATCCCTCCCTCTCTCAGTCTCTCTCTTTGTCTTCTTCATTAGGAAAAGATCACCAGAATATGGGTTTTTGTTTCCCAAGTGGTCAAAATATTTAGAGAAAGTCACTTGCTAACCTTTCTTGATTTGTATAAGGCAATTAGACACAGAAATAAGGCCAAAGGGCTGGGGATTGGAGCGGACAGTGAACTCAGCCTCAGTGACATCTTATAAGCTGAAGTTCCTAGGCATGAACTGTCTAGATGTCACCTGGAACATAGTCAAGGATATTCCAGTTCATGTGCTCCAGTGTCTGTCTGTCTTTTTTCTTTGTTTCTACTTTTGAAACACACATATTATCTGAAATACAAGCCTGTAATATTCTTCTGATATAATTTTATTAAAATTATACACATGTATACTGGAAATCAAAGACTATAGGTATTTTTCTACTTTAATTGACTACACAGTGGCAATCCATTTATTCTTATCCTAAATTCAAAATCTTTCACCTTATGTAGCCATAAGGCAAAAGCTGTGTCCTGATTACATTGGAATACTTCAGCGCTGTAGTACTCAGAGAGGAAATTTAATGGTGTTGCACAGAGTGTATCAGGACATCCTTGATTCTTCTGACCATGGTTAAGAATTTGCTTGTGCATTCACTTTAGGACTCAATCAGGGTATGGACCCACAGAATCCGTGGGGGTAAAAAAGGAATATTATTCATAAACAACTTTTGGTAGTAAGCTTAAAAATTGATAGCTTTTTGTGTATATTTATGCCGAGTTTATTAAATGTGTTTGGAAATATATATAGGGTTTCCCCTTATCTCTGTGAACACTCACAAAATTGCCCACAAATAGGAAGTGCTTTATAAATATTTATTGAATGAGAAAACATTTATTTTTCACTCAATCATATGGTTTATTAGCATGTTCTGTTTGTTTCTGCCCATTCCCTGAAATAAGTACTAGGTCCAAAGCCTGTACATTGAGGATTAAGTACAAACAAACCTGTACATTGAGAATTAAGCACAAACAATTCATTTCATTGAGAAATAATGAGCACAAAATTATAAAGGCTCCTGTGTGCCTTATTTTTACTCAGAAATCCCTATGTAAGATAGAATAAGAAAAGGGAATTATGCATGCAAAATAACTGATTTTGTAAGGTAACAAATTAAGAAAGTACATTTTAGTTATCTCAAGAAATTCAAAGTATATTTCATCAAAGAAATTACTTATGGAAGGAATTAAGAGCAAAATTTATTTGTTACACTAGTCAAAAGGTAACCAGTTGGAGTAGCAATATGTGAATTGGTAAAGTAAATATTGATTCAAGAAGTAAAATACAAAGGTAATCTTTAGATCTTTGGGGTAATTCTAGTATATGATTGATTTAGAGGATGAGTAGAGAATATGGTTCCTGCAACATTCTGTCTGGCTCTCAAGGCAATCAGTGTGAAAAAAAGGGGAGCAAATAGAACTTGAACATTTAAATTCATTATTTGATCACAAGAACTTACTTTTTATAAATTAGAGTAACAAATTCTATCCAAAAATTATTTATAAATTAAAGTGACATTTTTCAAAATTCATGAATAATTTTTTGAAATTCAACTAGTACACAACCAGTTGAGGACCAAACTACCCACAAGTTAATATTGATCTTTATTGACATTGGTTCTTTTTCAAGGTGTATCATGGGAGAGAAATGAATATTTCAAATGCTCCCTTTTTATTATTCCTTGAAACCTAAATTATAATTTCCATTTTCTGCAATAATACACTGTAATTTTACCTCCTTAAAATGATTTTTAAAAGAAGGATAGTTCCAAGTTCTAATAAATACAAAAATCATAAAATTTAGGATTTACCTGAAATTTTAAATTAAAAAAGAAATACATTCCTGAATTATTTTTCTCATTGCCTCTTGTTGAACACAAAACTGTGTTTTGAAGTTTTAGTCATATGCTGAAGTCAGTGCAATTTTTTTTTGTTTGTTTTTCGAGACAGGGTTTCTATGTGTAGCTTTGTACCTGTCCTGGAACTCACGCTGTAGCCCAGGCTGGCCTTGAACTTACAGAGATCAGCCTGCCTCTGCTTCCTGAGTGCTGTGATTAAAGGTGTGTGCCACCACCACCTGGCATCAGTGCAATTTTAACAGCATGTGGATTAGACCATTTCTTAAGTAAATAATGAAAAACTAAGCCTCATGCCATTGTTTCATTTTCTTGACCATAGCAAAAGGCTACCCTTCTGCAATGCCAAAGTCCCCCGTCAGCAGGGGAGCATCAAAAGCTTCTTGGAGAGCACAAAGCATCCTCCACTATTATTCCTCTATAATCCCACTCCTTTTATGTCTTTAACACACAACTACAGTTATTACTTTTAAATCCAAGAGCCTAACTTTCTGGTTTTTGAGAATATTTTCTAGGAGATTTAGCATATAGCTTTCACCTAAAGAGGGGGTAGAGCTGGTTTGCTGTGCAGGTGAGAGAACATTTGCCACCCAAGTAGATTCCTGTCCACATCTTCCATCACCAGCGCGCGGCTCTTGCTTCTATGTCAGCAGGTTTGAGCAGTCCACTCCTATCTCAGATCCTGGAAAGAACTGTCATCTAGTGGCAACTTGAGTTTTAATTTAGAACAATTACCTATAGTTGACCAAGTGATCAATCCAACTAAACCCATTATACCTCACATTATACCAGCTCAGCACCCAAGTGTTCCTTCGTTAGTCAGATCCACAGCACTGTCCACAGACATAACGTATCACATTTTCTCATTCCTCTCTACCCTCTGGTGTTTCTATTTACACATTCGTTTGGAATACCCAATCTCTCTCCTTCAATTTCTTAATTGAAAATTTCTACACTTCCCTTAACAGATGCTACTTAGCTCCATTTAGCAATTTCATATTCTTTCTCCTTCCTTCTACCTTTAAAAATCACCAACTCTCCTAAACTTCTGACATAACATCACTATCTACCTACCTTTTAGCCTCAAGAAGCTTTACTAATCCTCTTTCCACTTCTGTTACCACTTTCATTTCTTCAACTACAAGAAGTTTATTCCATTCTAGACACTGCACTCAAAACTATTATACCTCCACTCGTCTCATGGTCTTCTCTTTTATCTTGTATCAGTTACTCAGTCTTCTGTTAAGAACTTCATGTTATAACCACCAGACTTGCATGTTTTCATTTCTAAATATTTTATACACTGGCTTTTTCCATAACTTGACAGTTCATCTAATTTTTTTTTTATCTTATTAAAATTCTTCAGATTCAACAGGGGTGGATATGTACTTTTCCCAGTGCTCTGTTGGGACCATTATTATTATACGTACCCATGACTGTACTTGGTGTCCTGTCTCCCTCTCCTTCTTTTGCACTGTCTTGGAGCAGTCTTGACCTGCTCAAAACCACTAATTTTCTTTTTCCTTTTTGCACATTCAGGTTGCTGACTATGAATTAAGTTATACTAGCAGTCTATTGAAGAATCTCTTTATAAGTGCATGGCTAAATGAGAATTTGATATTGCCTAGACATTCTATCATAGATTATTAGCTTGCTTACTTTGTAATTTTCCAAAGTTAAGTTACTTCTCTTCTTTACCCCTGTTTTTATTTTGTGGATCCTCATGCTTAGGGACAATGCTTTATTTACACAAATTAAGAGATTAGAAAAAAATTTCCTTATACATTTCATGCCTCTAGGATATTAGCTTGTTGATTGCTGATACCTTATATTTAGAATCAAGCCTGACACATTGTAGTAACTTGAAAACATTATAGAGTGAAAGATGAATGAATGCTTTTAATGAAGAATTGAAAATAATAAATGTACTAGGAAATTGCTAATTAATAATATTCAGTTCAAATTTTCTAGGAAAGTTTTATTTTATTGTGATCTCAATGCTTTCTCAGAAAGATTGTTTCCAATATAGCCAACTAAGGTATTTGCCACATAGTGAGCACATGCAAGCATGCTGTGCCTGTCCTTTAAGACCTTGTTATTATTATAGACTAAACCAAAACCTAAGCCTAACAAAACACAAGATTTCACATGCAATGTGATGTGATGTAATGTAATATAATAGATAAACTTTATCACTGAAGTGATGCACACAACCAAAAACTTCAGAGTTCACAGCCTATAGAAAAATATGTTATTTGATAATGACCAAGCCAATAATAACCATATTTTATGTGGCTTTTAAGAAAATAAAGAAATAAGATCATAAGATCTATTTGAAAAATCAGAAAATGTCATTGCTTTTTAGAAAATTCATGTCATTAACATTTTTCTCTTTTTGCAGTTAAATTAATGTTTATTAAACCATTAACAATCTTACAAAACCTAACATGAACTGGGGTTATAGCTAACTTGGTAGACTTGCTATGGGCTTAGCCTTTAAGAGCACACTAACAAAACATGGCATGGTGCTACATATCTGTAATCTCAGCCCTTGGTGAGGCCAGGAACATCAAAAGTCCAAGATCATCCTCATCTACTTAGTAAGTTCAATGCCAACCTGGGCTGAGAGACTCTGTCTCAAAAACCAGCAGACTAATGGCAGTCACTCTTTCCCTACCAAAGCTACTTAGAATTCTAAAAGACATTGAAATTAAAAAAAAAAATCTCTTGTTCTGCTAGCAGTTTAGTTTCATACAATATTTTAATAGTGTGCTACAAAACATAAAGGAAAATATTCCAGATGTGGTGGTATGCGTCTCTAATCCCGGAAACGGACACATCGAGGAAGGAAGACTGCAAAACCTGCTCTACAGACTTAGATTCTATCTCATAAACAAAAACTCCCAAACTTGTGCTTCAACTATACACAGGGTAATCTGTAAAAACAATCAATTAAAACATTCAGAAAATTGAGTGGTTTAGAATAAAATTTAGCAAGTTAAGAATAGTCATGAAACTAGAAATTAGCCCTGAATTGCAAATCTCCAGTGAGAGTCAAGAAGTATAAACACAAAGAAAGCATAAGGACAATGTACAGGTTGAGAGAGCTAAGGAGAAAACTGGAGACTCTGCTGTCTGTCACACCGAGAGAAAATTTGCTGTTACTGTGTAAGTCACATGGAAGGTGTGAAAATTTCTCTCAGTGGGAATGCTAAAAGACCATGCCCGGAAGGGTAAGAAAAGATTTATCAGGGGACGGACCATGATAAAAAAAGAGTCTTTGCAAGTCACAAAAGCAAAACCAAGCCTCGCAGGAAACAAATACTCATCTTGGAAATGCCTCATGGCACATTAAATGTTGGCAGGGAGTCAACTCGATCGTTTTTCTCTTTGCTTTATTCCCATCCTTGGGCCACATAATTGAATCTGTAGTAAACCTGGTCTCAGGCTATTTCTTGCCTATAAGTAGGTTAGAAGCCATGTGTACTGAGGTCACTTGGAAACTCTCTTAAAAATTCACAAGACCAGTATACATTCTTTCAGGATTAATGAAAGATAAGATGTATTAATAAAATCTAGAATCATTTCAATTTGAAGTATATAATAAAAATTCAAGGCATACTCTGGCATAAAATTTACTGCCTCCCAGGACCTGTAACTCAGTATTATTTCCAGGGAGAAATCCAAATGTTCTGACATTCATGAAAAGCCAGGAGAACAAGGCCCTGTGTAAGAATCACAAATATTGCTCATCCAGAAGAAGCCAAATGTCCTGCGGAATGAAGTCCTGGGTGGAGAGCCTTCAGAATCTACACCCCATACCTTCTCTGCATGAAGAGGGACATGGCGTCCAGTCACTGTATGGGGTCACGATACAATCCTTCCTACAAGGAAGCAAGCAAGGCCTCACTGTTTCAGGCCGAAGGCTTTCAGGACACCTAGAACAAACAAAGAAATTATTCCGCCTTTAACAATCCACAAAGCCAAGTATCGCAATTTCCTCCCAGTTTTCCTTGCTGTCTGAGTCACAGCCACCAGCCTCTATGACTTAGCTTTCATGGCCACTTTTAACAAGCACCATTTAGTTAAATTAATTCTCTCCAACCGTATTTGCACAAGACTACACACATAAATATGTATACTTAATAACACTCATGTGTTCTAGAAGAAATATAACCACTATATCCTTGCCTTTAGGATAATCTCTCCACTAGTAAATACATATTACTAATATGCATAATAAAAATTTGTAGAAATTCAAATTACCAATGTTAGGACAAAATTTCTGTATCTGTAGCTAAATATTTCATAATAATATGACAAAAATAATAGTTATTTTTAATATTACTGTCATATGTATGCATGCATGTGTGTGAATAGAATGTGTGAGGGTATGGACATGAGACTGTGCTTGGTTGTCGGTTCTGGGATTGAACATAGGCCATCAAACTTGCTTGCTGTCTTTCCCTCCCTCCCTCCCTCCCTCCCTCCCTCCCTCCCTCCCTCCCTCCCTCCCTCCCTCCATCCCTTCCTCCCTCCCTTCCTTCCTCCCTTCCTTCTTTCATTTTTTTCTTTCTTTCTCTGTTTATTTTTTGAGACAGGGTCCCACTGTATAGCCTTAGCTGGCCTGGGACTCACTATGAAGACTAAGCTGGCCTCAAACTCACAGATATATGCCTGACTCTGCTTTCTAAGTGCTGGGGTTAAAGGTGTGTGCCTTCATTCCCAGTTCCATATTAGTCACCTTTAAAGAAGTAAACAGTGAGTAATAATGGTTAACACTATTTGTTTCCAGACTTCATTTTCGACATATCCTGTAATTATTTGCCTACATACATTTTCTCACACACAAATATAATACTCTTTTCTGTTATAAATTGAATACATATTCTCTTACTTTAAATACTCAGGTTTATTTGGAAGTTGATTTTTAAAAATATTTAATATTTAACATGTAAAATAACAATAATCTCCTTGCTTAGTTGAGGATAAACTTGGATTTTCCTAATTATTATGACTCTTTAAAGTGTTGGGCAAAAAATATTTAAGTATGAATCACAGAAATTGATGTGTTTTTATGATTTAGATTTTTTATAAGACTGGAGTTATAATTTAACTTGAAAATATGACAAAATACAACATATAATCTAAAGAATTCTTTTGGGATTATGGAGCTACTGGTCAGTAATTATTATTGAAAGCAATTCTTTTCATTGAGGCATTTTATAACTTTAACAATGGGAGGCCATTACTCAATTGCATGCTCTTCAAATATGTAGCTCCAAATAAATCAATTGAATTTACAATGTTATCATTGACCCTCTACATATTCTTTTAGTTTGGAAATAGCCACAGCAAGACACTGGACTAACTGTGGAGAGCAAAATTACTAACAACAAAGTCATTAAGTGAACACACAAAGATAAATTATACAGCCTAGATTCATCCAATAAAATGAATTCCGACTTCCTTCGGTGAGGCAATTGTTTTAGCTAACATGCTTCCTTTCCCTGGAACTGTGTGTATTTAGCATTTGTGGTTTAAATCAAACAATTGATTCCTCCCTCCTCCCAATCTTATTCAAGGTCAAATTAAACAGATGTGATAGGAGTTGAAGTTTGTTACTTGGGAGGATAGATAAGATCAATAACATTGATTTTGCCATCTCTCAGTAATCTATTTTATTAAGAAGAGTTTAAAACAAAGCTTCTATTTGCATTTTTGTTTCAAATGACTTGTATTGGAAAGCATTCATTGAATTTAACCTAGCATTTAGGGAGAAGGGCAATAACACTTTTTTTGAACTCACTGTACATGGTTTCATTTCCCACAATTTTAAGGGCAAAGGAAGCCCACATGATTCAACAAATCTATGGGCATATCCAGATCATTGAAAAACAACTGTAGAGGCATAGTAAATTTTTGCTGGATTACTGTGGTTGTCTGATATGAGGCATCAGGACACCCTTCTTAGTGAATGATCTCATGACACTGGATCCATTAGGCTCTTTCACACAGAGATCCTTTCACACGTAACCCTTCACTCTGGAACAGTATTTTAGTTTGTAGTCGCTCTAAGTTGCAACCTTTGAAAGGCCATTGACGGTCAAACAGAAAGAGGAAGCCTTTTGCAAATCAATATAATATTGTTCATCCTGTCTGGTCTGCTGAGCACTTCTATCTCTGTTCTCATCACAGCAAGAATCAGGCTCTGTCTGACTTGGGACTTTCACCCCTGCTGCTGCTAGTACCATTGAATTTTAATATATTGCAAATTAATTTCCTGAGTCAGATTAATAACAATCTTAGTATAATTCCCATTAACATATTGGTTTGAGGTTACCATATGAAGTGTGCAGAATGGTCTCTCACTTTATGTGAATCTCTTTGGCACATATTTTCTAATATATTTTCAAATGTAAATCTATATATACACTATGGAGCTAAATATCTTTAATATCTGCAATGATAGCTAGATAAAAGTGCGTAATGGGATTCTTACATATTTCCATATGTGAGATAAATTATTCTCATGCCCATGGAAATTTTAATAGAAAAAAACCAAGAAATCATGCACCTGAAAAGGGAACAGACAGGGAGAAGGGGACATAATAGGGATGGGAGGAAGAGAGAAAGGAGGAAGAGAAAGTAACCCGGGTGCTTTTTATACATCCACAAAATTTTCAAAGAGCTAAAGTCACTGATAGAACAAAGCAAAATAAATATCTTGCATTTTTAAAACAGCCATTTCTAATGTTCATTGAGTGACTACATCAGAGTATTTTTCATTATATAATGCTTTCAGTTAGCTTTGTCAAAGCCACCTGGCTGATGATTTGGGAAACCCAAGATCACAGTTACACTTATGTAAAACATGTTGTTTGTGCTGTCCACATTCCATATGGCCTAGGACACTAGGACATTTGAATGACTAAAGAAGTTATTTTGTTTCAAAAAATAAATAGGATGTTCCCACTCAAAAAATATGTATTTTTTAGAAAATTCACTAATTTTTCTCTAAGAATTGGTTTTTCCTCCATAACATTACTTGGTTTTGCTTATAATAGTCACCAGATACTCTTAATACCTCATGTCTCTATTTTTGTCCTTCCCACTAGCAAATTGCTTCCCTTGTTACCTAACCCATGAGAAACTGATGTCTTTTTCACTTTATCTTAGCAGTCATCTTATCCCAAGGCTCTCTATTGGAAGTAGGTGGTTACTCATTTTACCACTGAAAAATATAAGTTTGGCCTTATTACTAGTGATATAGGATTTTCTGGGGGAAAAGGAAGGCAGATCATAGATGGCTTCTATTCAATTAAATAGATTGTCAGCCTCCAAGCCCAGGGATATACAGGAGGTCATGGATGACCTCCACTGCTAGGACTTTGTATACCATCATAATTGATCAGCCAAGCCTAGAGCAAGACTCCTTTCTTTACCTCAATAGCTTAATAAAAGCAGACTGTTCTACAATAGAATTGAAAATGGGGACCAGGTAGAAAGGTTTCTAGAGAATTTATGGGTCCCATGTACAAGACTCAGAAATAGTTACAGCTTTATCAGCAACTGACACTGAAAACAAACAAATCTTCTCTTGGGGACAGGAATGACAAGCATCAAAAGACTCCATTTAACGAAGCAAGCAAAGCCCAAGCCAATCTTCTGCATGGCTGACCACGGGATTTACTGCTGACATTCTAAAGGCCTTACTTCTTGGGTCCCACTTGGCCCACGTTGACTCGAACACAGATGACTTTTCGTGTCTGCATGCCCACAGAACATGAGGCCTCCCCATTCCATGTTGTAGTCGTATTGAAGGATGACACTGATGTGTCCTCTATACACTGACCCCAGGGACCAGTTTGCCAGTGATACACAGTGCAAGGATGTTCATTACAGCTGCGCACCTCTTGCAAGGCACTGCTGTTTGGGCAGCGGATTCCACCTACAGAAATGGACAACGATAACAGATTAGATAGAGAGCCAAAGAATTTCCTTGTTCTCTCTTCCTAGGAATTTTCAGGGCTGGTAACGACGATGCTGACCACTTACTGAGCACATAGTATTCTACCAGCATACTACAAAAGAGGTAATTATTCTTTTTTCATGATCTAGCTTAAAATATGAAGCATACAGTATACATACTAGATATTGAAGATAATTTAAGACCTTAAGGAGAAGCCATTGTTCTTCAGAGAAACCCAACATCAAATGCAAGGAAGCTCACTAAATTGTTAACCACAAGCGAGAGAAAACTTCACACTGTGGATGAAAATATCTGAATGTGTTTTCAGTTGTCATCTTTTAAGTAGAAAGTCTTAATCCAGGGTTTTTAATAATGCTTACTTTAATTATTAGATTTTAGGGTGATTACATGCAAATATGTTAAAATTGGATGGAAATTTAGGAACTTCCAGAGTATTATTGAGAAATCAGTGGATTTGTTCAAATCTCTGGCGCCACTGCCTGTGCAATGCACCATCATTTTACGTGTTCTAAAGAAAAATAAATGGTTTCAAATTAAACCATTAAACAATATTTTCTGCTTAACTCTAATTTTTGTATGCTTATTGAAACAGCTTTCTATGACTTAATTCCATGTTTGCTTTTTTTTCTGTATTATGCTTTTGCAAAAATTACAAGAAAAGATAGTTTTTAACTTCTCTATTTAGAGTCCAGATCTTTTCAGTCAGTTTGAATTCATTCACATTAAAGTTTGTGTTTTTTTTTTTTCATGGTATCATCATCTGTGACATAAAGATGTTGGTGATATCAGATATTTCATTTATTAAAAATTATTACATCTATACATTTGTTTGTGTGCATTTATGTATATACTGGGGGGGGGATGCACATGCCATGGTGTGTGTCTATAGATCAAATGCAAAGTTGTGGGAGTCAGTTCTCTCTTTTCTCAATATGGGTCCCAGACTGAACTCAGGTCATCAGGCTTGGGGGCAAGTTCCTTTGCCCACTGAGCCATCTTATCAGCCTAATATGAAATTTCTTATAAAGATTTGTCCCAAGACCTAGAGAGATGGCTCAGCCATTAAGAGCATATCCTGATCTTGCAGAGGATACCAGTTTGGTTCTCTGTCCCCATATCAGGCAGGTCACACCTGCCTATAACTCCAGGTCTAAGGGATCTGATGCCTTGAGACTGCTACTCACATGCAAATATCCTGCCTCAGCCTATACATACAACAGCAAAAACATTGTCCCATGTAATTGACAGAATTTTCACCAGGATAACAATATCTATCTTTCGATTTTGATGCTGTTACATTCTTTTCCTTCTAGTTCTGGGAGAAGGAATCTAGGACTTTCACATGTTAGGCAAGTCTTCTATCACAGAGAAACTCCCCCAGTTCTACTGGATTTTTAATTGCACCAGAAAATGTATTAAAAGTCTTAATTGAACAACTAGTATTTATTTTTTCCTCAAATGATCTTTAGCTGATTTTGATTGTTTCCTTTTTGCATATCTGGGACTGCTGTTTCCAGCCAGAACAACAATGCTTGCTATCACAAGTGATGGCAACTCTGCTATCACTTCTGCTTAGCTGCTGCATTGCAGAAATGCATTCAAGGTACAAAGCAATAATGCTGGGGATGTTAAATTGTAAGATAGCCATATCTCTAATTAGTAGACTATGATGTGAAGGTTAATACTCTGGTATCATTTTTTTTTTTGTGCCAGCCCTATTGTGTGAACTTCATAGGTGGGGTCCTAATTTGTGTTCACAACTGTCAAATGAATAAATGTATAAACCAAAGCATCTGAAACGATGTGACCAGTGTGTTAATAAGGAATGTAGGAAGATCATGTTTTTGTTTTAACCAACTGTGAAAATAAAGAGATGTATTGTTAAAGGCAGGGATTAGAGAAATTCATCCCTTACTTCATTGATGATTTGATTCCAGTGGCAACACCAGAGATGATCTCCAGAGATTACAGATATTTTCAGACTTTCCTCTGATCAGCAGCTGATCAATTGGCAGCTTGTTAATAACAATTTAGAATCATTTCTGCATTGTTGAATGTGGTTGCAACATCAGAATGACCTGTCCTGAACATTTCATTAGTGTTCCCACTTAATGAAAATAAGGACACCTGTCACACTTCATATCCTGTCTACTGTCATACAACTGGATGACCCTGGCAACCCTTGCATGGACTTTTAGGATTTGAATACACTGAATTCTAAAATATGCTAATTGTATTGGGGAGAAATAAGTGAGCACACCTAGAGTTCCTTCCTCCGTGTGCTAGACATATTCCACATTAACAAATACATACCAATTATATATAAAATTATAAATATGATTTTATATACACTTATTTAACAGTTCCTTTACATTTAATACTAAAATTGCTGATAAAATGCTGCATTTCTGTACATACACCATTTTCACTGTAAGAATCAGTATCCTGTTAAAACTGATTTTAAACCTCTGAATTGCTTTTGACACTTGAATTGACTGCTTGGCTTAGGGGAAAAATGATAAGGGTAAGAAAAGAACTTCTACAACATCAGCATAACATGTCAAGGAACTGCAAGATAGCTGTTAAGTTTATAGACACAAAGGCTATTTATTTTCTCGCCCTAATCCACATTAAAGCCACATCAGCAGTTTGCATCTGATGTAGGATCCTTGCACCAATAAGCCCTAGTGTGGTCTTAATTATTACAACATTGCAATTTTGGTGTAATCTGTCACTGCAGCACCACTGTGTTGTTTGGGGAATAATTTTATGTTAGAAAAATTGATAAATACAGTGTTGAAAGTATCTATTATTTATGAGAAAACCTAATTTTGGACCTTTGGGAGTATTTCCTTAGTCATGGAGAAATTATAAAATGTGGACTATGACACTTATACTTACTATGTCTTCTTACATGTAAAACTATAGGCTTTACACTAAAACTGTTACTTAGATGTTTTTATAGTTTCAGCAACAGGAAAGACTTTACTGGACCTGAAAAGACTTCTGTTACATAAATAAACCTTTAGAGAGGAGGTGAGGATGAGCTAGGAGAAGTTAAGGCTGGGAGAAACTGTAATCAGAATATATTATGTGAGAAAAAAAATCCATTTTTAATAAAAGAAGGAAAGAAATATTTATGTACATATAAAATGGTCCAGCTATTAGGTGAGACTGCGATATTAAAACAAGAGGCACTGGGCTAGGGATAGATAACTGTACTTGCTGCAAACACGAAGACCTGAATTCAAAGCCCCAGAATTCATTTAAAATAGTGGGTGTAGTTGCATGATCAGGTAACTTCAGCACTGTGAGGCCAGAAACAGACTGGAGGATGGTTAGAGCTTGCTTTAGTAATCTCAAACCTTAGTAAGAGACTATCTCAAATGTATAAAATAGTAACAATGCAGAACACCTGACATCCTTTTCAGGCCTCCATGTACTTGCACAGCTCATATTCCCTCTCATATGTGTGCATATACCACACAACATAGTCTGTAAATATAAATAAAAATAAAAATACATGAAAAAGAACATAACTTTTCCTATACACATCAGTCTTGCAGAAGCTTTGTTAGAATACATATGGTGAGAGTTAGGGAATTGCTGTTTCTGGCATTGATGTGTTTACAACTGATATGACAGGTTTGAAAACAGACCTATTCATGACCCCAGCTAAGTCTCCTAGTAATAGTGGATCCGCAGCCTGAACTGGCTATCTCTTGTGACCAGATTGGTGCCTGGCCCAATTGTCATCAGAGAGGTTTCATCCAGCAACTGATGGAAACAGATGCAGAGACCCGCAGCCAAACATTAGGCAGAATTCAGGGAACCCTGCAGAAGAGGAGGAGAAAGGACTATATAGGAGCCAGAGGGGTCAAGGACACCATAAGAAACTCACAGAATCAGCTAACCTGGGCTCATAGGGGCTCACAGAGACTGAACTGACAACTAGGGAGCCTGCATGGGACTTACCTAGGCACTCTGCATGTAAGTGACAGTTGTGTAGCTTGGTCCTCTTATGGGGACTCTAATAGTGTGAACAGGGGCTGTCTTTTACTCGTTTACTGGCTTTTGGGACTCTATTCCTCATACTGGGTCACCTTGCCCAGTCTTATTACATGGAGGAGTGCTTAGTCTCACTGCAACATGATACGCCATGTTTTGTTGATACACATGGTATCATCCTTTTCTAAACAGAAATGGAAGAGGAATGGATTAGGGGGTGGGGACAGAGGGGTTTTGGGGGAGGAACTTTATATATATGTTAAGAGCCTTATTCAATATGGTAACTGGATACCTGTATATGCAGTGTGATGTACAGCATCCCAGCATTTATGTGGGGACCTTCAAGGGACATCAGAGGGATTAGAAATTGTTCACTACACTCAAGGATATTGTGATGTGGTAAGGAAAATAAGTAGGAGGGGTAGAGTGGCTGAGCAAACATACTCAAGAGGAAAATTCTATGTGGAACATCAGAATTATGTTGAGAGGTATGTAATTTTTTAAATTTAATAATGATTACGAGAAGTATGATTCATTGTGTTTTGGAGACTTAAAAATGTCTGGAAGAAGGAGGCACTGGAATGAACTACAAGGAGCTAGAATTTTAAATAGTAAGAAAGAAGAGATCATTTTATATTAGCAAAATTAAAAATAAATGCAGAACAATTCATCACGGTACAGCCTTGGGGGTTAGCATGTTGACATGTCAGTCAGAGTGTAGAGTTCGTACGAGAAAGTGCATGGCTGCAAAGAGAAGCAGTGGATGGAGCGTACGTCAGGAAGTGCTGACACCATGTTTCTACCATCACCGGCTGTTGCAGCGCAAATCCTCTCATGGCAGACTGTGCTTGGTGAGAAGCCCTTGCCCAGGGCCCGACAAGTGCTTGGGAGGGCTGAATCAGAAAGAGCATTAGCAGAAACAGGAAGGAGCATTCTTATCGTGCAGCCCCCTCAAATTCTCTGAAGCTGGAGGGGGGGGGGTGCCACCATCCTCTTAGACACCAAGTGACGTTCGTATCTACACACACCCTGGATCTGTGTGTCTTTGAATCCTCGAAGAAACACAGCTGCTTCATGGCTCTAATAATCAAAATCACTAAACTGTAAAACACAAGCATATTGAAATAGAACTATTACTTCTTCCAAGTTTTTCTCTGTAAAATATGATTCCAAAGGCTTCTAATTATTTGAGAAAATTGGCATAATTCTATATCAATCTGCATCTATTCTCTGCTCACAGCAGATACGACAGCACACTGACATTTGGCTAGTGAAGTTATATCAGGTCATTATGAACTTTGCAGAAACAAATGTCTTCTCAATTTTCACTCTGTGAGGGTACTTGCACATCATTTTTACCTTTATAAATTAAATTTGTTGAAGATCTGCACAGGGATTCAAAATGAAAAACACTGAAAATCTAATATTGTTTATGTTTTATTCAAATTCAACACATCACTACTTATAGTATGCCAGATTCAACTATTAAAGGGTTTCTTTCTTTTGAAACTTCCACATAAATTTAAAGTAGGTTTGAGGACAAATCCTAGTTTACATAATATCATAAAGATACTTATCTAAAAAAATCACACAATGCTGGATTAGTAAGTTCTTGATTTTATATAAGTAGAAAACAGGAAGTAAAAATCTGACCCCAAGAAGGGCTCATGTTCCTTTCCATGTATATATTATATTCGTGTGTTTGTGGGTATGTGTTCATGTGTGTGCAGGTACATGCATGTGTGAAATTTAGGGATCAACACCAGGTGTTGCTCCTCAGGAACTGTCCACCTTGTGTGTGTGACCATCTCTCTCACAGAGACTGGGGCTTACTGATTAGGTGATTCTGGCTGTCCAGTAAGCTGCAAACATCCCTCTGTTCTTGCTGCCCTAGCTCTGGGATTGCTAGCACACCCCAAAACCTAGATCCTTTGTACATGAGTATTGGGTGTGGTCCTTGTCTTTGCATAGCAAACTCTTCCCCATGGAAGTCTCTTCAGTAACCTCTTGCCTTCACCTGGTTTAACTTAAAAGTTATAGTCATCTTTCTCCAGTGTTCATGCCTTGACTGTCTTTAGGTGCTTCCAATTGTGGTTTGGTTTCCTAATGATATTTCAGCATGAATTATTTTGTAGATATTTTTGTGTATTGCTGAAACTATGCTGTATAGTGTTATCTAAGATTGTATGGGAAGAAAAGATATCTAAACTATTTTTATTCTTTTATTTTCTTTTAAATTCTTTCGAGATACCTTCGTAATTGTAGCACAGAATTAACAGTTATTTTCTTTTCTTTTTTTTTCTTTTTTTTTTTTTGTCTTATTTTTTTGAGACAGGGTTTCTCTGTGTAGCTTTGTGCCTTTCCTGGAACTCGCTTTGGAGACCAGGCTGGCCTCGAACTCACAGAGATCCACCTGGCTCTGCCTCCCGAGTGCGTGATTAAAGGCTGCACCACCACCACCCGGCCCAGTTATTTTCATGGACCATTTGTAAGAAGTTGATGAGTGTGGCTCATCAAACTGAAAAATTTGGAATATATTTCCTGTAAGTAAGGCATCCTCCCATACATAAACATATCTAGTACTCCTAGCCCCATCTAAACTTCCAACTATCCCCAAATAATCCTCATAAAACAAGGATTTAATTCAGAATCAAGTATCCCATTTAGGTATCTTGTTAATTTTTGGTCTCCTTTAATTGGAAATATTTCTTCTATATTTCCTTAATTTTTATAGGGAATTCTGAATAATTGGTGTACATTATTTTATAATTATATAGCAACTTTCTGACACTTTTTCAGAGTAAGATTCTATGCATGCATTTCTGGCAAGTTATGTTAGAAGTAATGCCAACGTTGTTATTGTAGAACATTCAGGAGAAGAGATTTTGAATTCTCCATTACTTTCAATTACTTGGGTCACTAGATTAAGCAAGATTTATTTCTTTTAAATACATCTCTATTTTTATTTATATGTGTACACCTGTGTGTATGTACACCACAGAGTGTGTTGGTACCTGGGAAGCCCTGGAGAGTTTCAGGTTCTCTAGAGCTAAAATTACAGGTGGTTGTGAACTACTCAGTGTGGATGCTAGGAGCTGAACTGTGAACTTTTGGAGCAGCAGCAAGTGCTCTAAACTGCCGAAGGATCTCTCTAGTTCCCCACCCTACAGTATGATATCCTGCAGACAGAATATCCAGTGATGGGACCGTCTCTCCTTAACTAGAAGCAATTATTCTATGACAGGAAGTAGGTGGCCTCATAAGTAGAAGCAGTCATGTCTGGATGGTGATGGTGGTGGGGATTCACAAAATAAAGGCTTGTCCAAGATCTTGCCATAGCAGACTTGGAATCAGTATAAACCAAATCACAGTCCAGTCAAGGATTAAACTGTGTGTACCTCTTGCCCTGCCCCAATTCATCCCCTATTTAAATCCTTATTCATATTAATAACCAGAAAAAAATGACTAAAGGTTAGGCCCATTGCCTACATTGTATAGCTACATTTACTAACATTTTACTATATGTTTCCCCTTTTCTGAACATAATCTATTCAAGCCAGAGGTACTGTTTGACAAGCCAAGAAACATAATTTTCCCTCTGAAAGTTCTATTTTGTTGTATTGTTCAGATTCCTTGGGGTAAGGCAACCCTTTGACCCAGAGTTTACTAACAGCTATGGTTATGGTAAAATAGAATCAGAAATCAAGATCTGGAACTGAGAATATAGCTCAAAGGTAGAGCACAGAGGCTTGGTTTAATCGCCAGCACATGTAACTAACTTCCCGCTACATTAAAGAGACCCCTACACCTATGCACTTGCCCTTACACATTGATTTTTTTTTTTACAAAATTATATAATCTCATCTCTAAATACTGTGTATCACTTTTATCTTTTATTTTCCTATAAAATTATCACAGTGATTTCCATAAAAAGTCTGTGACACATTCTAAGCTCTAATTTTTGTGGAATAATAAAATACCTACTTTTGTAGAATATAATATCATTGATAGGAACACAAAATTCAGACTTCTTATAGATATAGTTCTCTCAGAATATAAAAATACCATTTTTAAAGCTCAGTATTAAACCAGTCTCATTTTCCACAAGATAAAAAGTTATTTTCATATCCAGCAAATAACAGGTATTAAGGAAATTTATTTTGCAGATGAGTTCTCCATTAAGTGTCTCACAGATTATGCTATGTTTTGTAAATGCTATTGGCATAGACAGAGAGTAAGACATCCACTTACAGATATTCAATCTGCTTTGTACTTAAAATGATGTTTAGATACTTGCCCTTTGGTATACTACACAAGTATCTGTAGACTCTCAGGATGACTGGCTTAAGATGCAGCTATTAGACATAATTAAAAATTATTGAAGTCCTACCCTTTCAAATTAAATGGATTATATGTATCAAATACTAACCATGAATTTCTGCCTTTAAAACATTCAAGACCTTTCAGTGTGAAGTGTCTCATCTATAGACATAATGATCTGCTGCAGTTTTGCAAACACAGCAAAAATCCTTGCTATGTGACTTGGGGTGAAAAGTCACTCATTACTAGTCACACTGCAAATGTCTGCCAAGTATAATGGGTTTACAGGAAGCAGGGTGACCACAGATCTAATTTTAATGAAGCTCAAGACATAATCTGAGCTGATAGAGTTTGAAGTCTGAAGGTAGTCTATTCAAGCTGGAGGTGTTTTTGACAACACAGAAAAGTAATTTTTTTCTCTAAAATCTGTATTTTTCTCTGAAAGTTTTTATTTTCTTAGCAATCATAGTGGGAAATATTTGAGGGTTCCACAAAATTAATAAAATTTCTGAAAGGGTAACATTTATATATAATATGTTGCACTTGTGTATTAAAGCCAAGGTAATTATATAATCTGTATAGTTATTATGTAAAATAATTGCAAGTATTGTTAAATAAGATTATGAGATACTATGACCAAAATGCCTGAAAACATAAAAAGGCAAAATGACATAAAACCAATCAAAATCAATTAATTTCAGGGATTAATAGGTGTCTACGTTTACTATAAAGAGAAATTGTGATCTATCAGTCTAAAATGTGAATAAGGAGAAGGGTCATTTAGTGTGGGATGCTGTAGCTGCACACCTGCATTCCTGAAAGACAATATGCCTCAGTGTGACAGAATTTGACTTCCATGTTTTCCAACTCCTCTGTTGTCTTCCAGAAATAACAATAGTTTGACACTGTCTCACCCAGTCACACAGAGGACAAATTAGCATTTGGAGAACAGCTCAGAGGCAATTACTGCCTTGTATTACTTGGCAATAAAGCTTGCGGGTGAGGTGTGATCTGTAACAAGCATGCCTTATTCACCCCATAGGGTGAATCCGTGTTTAAGTCCAGCGGATCTCAGAGCCTGTGCTCAAAAACAAGAATGGTAGAGAACACATATTGTGTTCAGTCAAGCAACAGCCATGCTAAAATTTAAAATATAACTTTGATATTATACATATATGATAATTTTATGAGGCATTAGACTGTCAATGCCTAAAATGAGCTACCAAAACAGAAAAAAAAAAAGAAAGAAATGTTTGTTTTTTTAGAACTTGTTTCTCAATTTTCCCCACTTTGTACACTTTGGAATAGAAGGAACAGGAATTATTAGGTGAATGGAAAAAAGGCAAATTCTTTAAAACATCCTCTTTCTTTATTAAAGAACAATTTTAAAGGTTAATTATTAGGAATAGAACCAAACCATATAGATATATAAAATGTCATTCATTGCTGGATTTTTGTCAGCTCATTTTCATAGAATGTCATCTTATACAGGATACTCAAAGTAAATAGTCATCAATTTTCAGAAGAAACAGTCAAGAAGTTGGAGACCTTACCTTCTTCACCTGCATAGGCCAGAATGGAGCGAGCTCGGATCTGTTTCCCTTCTGTGGTTTTCCCAGAGCAGGTGTGTGAACAGGAGGACCATGAAGACCATGCACTGAGCACACAGTCCTTTGGGCATGGCGCATCGCAGGCCACAGGAATGGGAAAGATCGCATCTCTGCATAGCTGTCTGTCCACTTCTTCTCCTGGGAAACACATTACCACCAACTTTACAATCATTAGGTCCATGGAAAATGAGTGATTGAAATAAGACAGGTGTCCCAATGAATTAGATTATGTTCCATTAACTCTTAATTAAAAATGAAGTGGAGCCGGGCGTTGGTGGCGTACGCCTTTAATCCCAGCACTCGGGAGGCAGAGCCGGGTGGATCTCTGTGAGTTCGAGGCCAGCCTGGGCTACCAAGTGAGTTCCAGGAAAGGCGCAAAGCTACACAGAGAAACCCTGTCTCGAAAAACCAAAAAAAAAAAAAAAAAAAAAAAAAAATGAAGTGGAAAGAAGACATGATCGTGAAATGTTAAAGGAATATCAGAAAAATGCAAACAGAAACAGACACCTAAATCCCTAAATCAATGGTTTCTTTAATTATTTGAGGCATAGGCATAGAAACCAACATATTGCTGAAAATACTTTTACCCTACACTATCTTCCCATAGGATTTTTACATTTATGATATTAATGTGCAATGAAGAACATCATGAAATTATGTTGCCCTCCTTCTTATTCAGCTGGGAACTCTGATTTCCAAACAGAGGTAAATAGCTATAGCGTGTGTCAATGTTTTCATGAATCAACTCACAGATATGTCTATAAATGCTATTGTATCTGCCAGAGAAGGTGTTTTTATTACAACTAGTCACCTTTCTCTTTTTTAACCCCCACGCCCCGGAAGTAGACAGGAAATGTAAAAGATAGAATAGAATCACCATGCCAGTACTTAAGATGGCCGCATGGGAAGGCGGAGGACTGGAGACAAGACAGAGCATGTGCAGAAGTAAGCAGGAGTCAACAAAGTGCTTCAAACTCACTAAGAGTTTCTATGGGTCTTTAGGTAAAGAGCTGTTTGCTTTATAGCAAACAAAACTTCATATAACACTCTCTCTTTGCCCTAAAACTTTAAATGCTATTAAATAGCCAACACGTGCGGTTTGAAGAGCAAATGTTTCCCATGGGCTCATGAACTGAATGATTAGCCCCCAGCATGTGGTGCTACTTTAGGAGGATCTGGGGACTTTGGAAAATGGCACCTGGCTTGATGAATTGTGTGACCTGGGGATAGCATGTCTTTGGGGCTGTATGCTGTCTGCGGTACTTCTCTGCTTCCTGTCCACCATAAAGTGGACAGCCCCTTTCTCCTCCTGCCATGGTATTCTGCCTCATCATCAGCACCAAAGCAATGGAACCAAGGAGCAGGGATTTAAATCCCTCAAACCATAGCCCAAAGAAATGAGTCTTCCCAAGTCGTTCCCTTGGGTTTTTTGTTAGTGATGAGAAAAGTAACTAAGACAATGTTCAGGTTACTATTCGATGAGCGAATGAAATGAGATAAAAGGCCAGAGAAAATGAAAGTATTACTGTGAATAAAGAACAAGGAGAAGCAATAAGACTGTGAGAAAATGGGATAAAAAGATGTCTGATAGAAGTCTGGATTCTGTGATGTGGTTACTCTGAGTTGCACAGAGTAGGATGAAACAATACAGCATGTAAGCAAGTGAAAATCTTTCTGCTGTTTGCCGTATAACATATCCAAAATTCTGGATGAATTTAAAGAATCCTGAGTGTTCTATTAGACATTCAGGGGAGGAAGGCTACTGACTGGCCATTCTTGACAATCACTACACTAACAAATCCAAGCAAATTTTCTGTTGTTGAAGGCTAGGAACACTGTTGTACTCTACACTGCTCTACTCACATATTTGAAAAGTGAGACAGAAAATCAGAAGTAATTTGGAAATGTGCTAACACGTTAATAACAACTACTTTGAAGGGCCTTTTACTGTTAGAAAAAAATCAGAAGTCAATTGAAATGCATTTATATCCGCTAGTATGTAAGATCTGAAATCATTAGCCTTCTTCACTAGTAGGAGAGGTTCATTAGAATTACAGCTGAGGCAACAGGGTCTCTTTGTGACTCTGATTTCTCAAATACAGCTTTCGCTAGCTGTGAAGCTTAGCATATCACCCAATAAGACAATATGATTAAAAGATAGATACACTGATGTTAAGTAGAGTAGAAAATCATTATTTATAATAAGGCAGCTAGTATTTTATAATTTATATAATAATAATAATAATGATGACTTTTTTCTATTAAACTGGGCTTTTTCTTAGGGCAAGGGGGTATCTTCCATTGTCCTAGCTCTCTGCCATTTTTTTCTCTCACTTTCTTTCCAGTATCCTGTGGAATGACAAGAAAGTTTGAAACTGTAGCTGATAGTTAATAAATGTGACAATTCATGTGTTCTCCAATAGTTTCCAATTATCTCACCCAGAAAGATATAATTCTGCAGCAATTGAGAGTTCGTGCCAAGAATACTATTGTAATAGACTTCCTGACTTAAGGGATGGGTTTCTGTTTGCTAGAGTGTAAACCAAAGGACTATATAAAATGGCCTTCCTCATGTTTCAAGTTGCTCCCACCATATATTAGCCAGTTTACTAATCATGCTTTGTTTAGGGAACTCCATTTGTTTTATTTTTCCCCCTAGGCATGCTATTCAATCCAAACAGCATAACTTAATTTTTGGTGGCACCATATAGACTAATCAGTTGCCATTTCTGAGAATCCCCTGATGATTCTGGAGTGTATGCTGCCCTCTTCTCTAACTCATCAGATATGATTTTGCCTCTCAGTTCTCTTATCTCTCAGCCATTACTGTCTGGCATTCACAGTGAAGCTTTTATTGAAATAGTCTGAGGATTCCATATATGTATCTAATGTATTTTCATGAAAGTCATCATCTATTCTAGTCTTCACAGTTCCTCCCCTATGTTACCCACCACCGTTTCCTCCCAATTTCATGTGCTGCATTATTCACACTGAGTGAATCTATTTAGTGATATCAGAATATAACTGAAGCGTGGGCAGTAGCCTCTCAGGAGCCACATCATTGAAGAAAACTGACTCTCCCTCTACCAACAACCATCAAAAGCTCTTCAGCTAGGGTACAAACTTCGTGACCAGCTTTCCAATCTGTGTGGGGATTTGTGCTCCTTGGGTCCTGTATAGGCCACAGGCATACAGTCACAGCCTCTGTGGGCACACTGAAGCCTTATGCTCTAGACACAATAGCTAGTTTTCCCTTTCTTTCCACAAACAAATCTCACTGTTGAAGCAGGGACTTTGCAATTTCTCTTTACTTTTGTGATGGTTTTATGAGAAATAATCCCCATGGTCTCAGGCCTTGGAGTATTGTTCCTCATTTGATGATACTGTTTGGGAGGTTTAGGAGGCATGGCCTTTCTGGAGGAAGTATGTCACTTGGAACAGGCTTTTAGATGTTAAAGGCTCAGTCATTCTTGGTTCACTCTCTCTACTTCACACTTACAGTTAACGAGCGAGCCCTCAGGAATCTGCTCCTGCCACCATGGACTTTACTACACCTTTACTCCACTGTCAAGGTCTCTAACACCCTGGATCCACAAGCCTGAGTAACCTTTTTCTTCTATAAGTTGCCTTGGTCATAGTGTTTATACAGCAATAGAAAAGTAACTAATTCAACTTTGTATGAAAAGTTTTCTTCTTTGTCCAGATGACTACCAAAATTCAGTCTTCATTGACACTCACAGTAACTGCATATTTTTATCATGATTTTAATCACTTCAAGAACCTGTTATTAAGATTAAATAAAATCATAACATTTATCACTTTTTAATATTTATTTTGTGTGAGTGTATGGTTGGGTGAGTGCAAAAGTGCCATGTTGTGAGTGTGGAGGCACAATTAAACAAATGAATAAACAACTTATTGGAGCTGGCTTTTTTCTTCCAGTATGTGGAGCCCAAGGAAATGATTGCAAGTGTTCAAGCTTGGCCCAGACTATCTTTATACATTAAGTCATCCTGAGCACCCAATATTCATCTTTCTTGTTTAGTTCCTCATACTTAGAACCTATAGCTGACACATAGTAGAAAATTAATATTTTGCGCATAAAATGAATAAATTAATGGACATTGTATTAGGGAAACAAACATTTGGATATGGACTAAGTATTTAATACGATTAAAAACTACATTTCTTCAGTTGTCATGTATTCTGGTTGTCAAGAACCTTACCAAACTGTACTCAGTGGAAAACATTGCATAAATCATCTGTTGGCTGTTGGCTGGAAATGCAGCCTCTCTTTCTGTTAACCAGAATGTGCACTTGCAACAGATCCTCGGGTGATTTACACACACATAAAATCTAAGAAATATTGCTCTAGGATTTATCTATGTTTATTGTCTTCTGGTTTGAGCAGAATCAGACTTCCTCTTTAAAGGGCAACCACATAAATTGAATTTTATATGTTGTAACTCTTGCTTTTCTGGGGGACACACTGTATACTTCTTTTCATAGAGAGAATATACACAAGTGAAAACCGTGCCTTAACAAATCATTACTAGATATCCATTTGTCTAATGAATGTTGTATATATGCATCTTAGCTAATTTACAGACTAACATTCAGACATAGGCATCGATGCTTTTTAAAACATTTTTAAATTTAATTTTTAGTGACAAATATTGGACCTAGGGCCTTGTACAAGCTGAGTACATGCTCTGACACTGAGCTACACTCTCAGACCAAATATTCCTTTTTTTTTTTTAACTTTAAAGGAAATTGAGAGTTATCAAGCTTTGGCTATTTGTCTCAAACAGCAGAAGTGTCACTAAATTGACAGAGATGGTAACCAGTTCACCAATCTTCTTAACCGTATGTTGGTGAGAAAAGTTGCAACACTAAAGCAGTTGATGGATGAGCTTTGCTACAAAGTCAAGAAATTGGTACTCTTGAGTTGCTTCTCCAAAAAGTGATGTATGGCTACACTCTGCCTCAGTACAGAGGTAGTGCTAACCTTTCTATGGTTATATTAATACATTGGGCTCATAGCCACTGAACACACAATAATGAATCTGTGAGGGTTGAGAATCATTCAAATCTTTGTCTTTGTTTTGATGAGAGCTTTAATTGATATGGCTAATTGA